AGATTGCAAGGAACAGGGAGGTCGGGTGGGGTGGAGGAGAAAGGGAAAGGAGGCAGAGGAGGGGAGAGGAAGAGGGATGGGAGCAGTCAAGATGAACTAGAGGGGAGAATGAGCAGGAGGAGAGAGAAGGAAGGGAGACAGAGGAGAAAGAGGGAAGAGGATGGAGAGAGGATGAGAGAAGAGAGAAATCACTTGAGACTAGAGGGGGAAAGGATGATGAGGATAATAAAGGAGAAAAAAAGGAAGGAAAGAAGACAGAAGGGAGGAGAGACAGACGAGGTATGGTTATTCCTTGTCTGTTTTAAGAAATACCATCTTAGCTGAATGCAGTGGTGTATGCCTATAATCCCAGCAACTTCAGAAACGGAGGCAGGAGGATCGCAAATTTAAGGCCAGCCTAGAAAACAGTGAGACCCTGTCTCAAAATAAAAAATAAAAGGGCTACAGATATAGCTTAGTGGTTTAGTACAGCTTAGCTGGGTTCAATCCTCCAAGGGAAAGATATGTCTTTATTTTACTCAGATATTTCTTTTTGTTTGCTCAACAAACATTTAAGGATATCCAATCTTGGCCAGGTTGTGTCTTCACCCAGCCACACAGACAGGAGACTCAGGGCGAGGCTGTAGCACTCATTCCCAGCAGCAAGGATCAGTGAGGGTACCAGGACTAAGACCCCAAGAGAACATCTCACCAGCCCCTGGGGGACCACACCAGCTTCCATCAGGGGCACTGTCCCCTCCAAGAGTTGAAGGATATGTAGGAATTATCAGACACCGGGCAGGCTATGAGGGAGTTAAGAAGCCAGGGAGCGAGGCAGACATCAGGGTTAACCAAGTGTAGACAAAAGAAAACCGATTCAGATAGAAGAGTAAATAGGGACTAAATTAAAAATGGTCCATGCGCATGTTAAGGATTTGAGGTTTATCTCCAACGTCTACAAGGATTTTAAACAGGGAAGTATAGTAAATATTTTTATATTTTAAAAATATCATTCTGGGGAAAAAAGAACAGAGACTTCAAACAAATATTGAACTCTGATTAATGATATGCATGAGTGGATTATTTAGAAAGAGGTATATTGAGGTTTGCCATTCCCTTTGAAGTGCAAATAAGATTGATTGCTCAGCCTCCACCAAAGATGGATGGTGAGTTCAACAGATAACAAAGAAAGTAAAATGGTACGGGTAAAATCAAAGTGGTAGTCATGTGGGTATTCGTTGTCAGATTCTCTCAACTTTCCTTGTGCTTGAAAACTTTCATAATAAAATACTGGGAAATCAGATCATTCTGGCTATTGCATGGATAAAGCTGTGGGAAGGCGCAAGGGAGCCAGTTAGAAGGTTGTTGCAGTCGCTGAGGGAAGAACTGATCATAACCTGACAGAGGGGCAAGCAACAAAAGGGACGAAAGAACTTGACTTCAGAGAATTATCAACAGCTCTGGCATTTAGATGGATATAGAGGGAAGAAAGAAATAAGAATAAATAACACCCTTATTTTACTGCCCTCGCTACAAACTAATTAAGAGCTCAAACATGGATGGTCACTGATTTGGGGGGGATAAGAAGGATTCATAAGGCTAAGATGTCTGAGTCACCAATAAACCCTCAGCTGACCTCTGACTTCAAATCTGCAGGAGATTTCTGATGTTGATTCTTTGCTGTCTTAGTCTGTTCTTGAAGTCAGTGGACTTCAGGCCAGTGGGTGTCCTCATGGTGGGAAAGGAAAGAGAGTCATCACTGCCCCGTATCCCCCAGGGTCCCAAATCAGAGTGGGGGTGGAATGGCTCCATCCACTCCACCCTCTCAACACATCAGAATCCCCTGAACAGTGCCGTGCCTCTTCCCTTGGCTGTCTAAATGTCGTTTTGCTGTTGTTGTTTTTGTTGTTCAATGAAATTGTTTTGGATCGACTGCTTCAAATGGCTCCATCCACAGCCAGCTCTGATTTATCAGCTTTCAGTCAGGAAAACAGATTTCTTTGGAAAACTCAGTCACAATAAGGCAAAATGAGCTTTGCTCAAGGGCTTCAAACTGCCTCTCCAGGGAGCAGATGCCGCTGGCCAGCCTCGTGGTTCTGAAAGGCAGCCTCCTCCTCCTCCCTCCACCTGCATCTGCGCTGGCTGTAATTTCAGCTCATTTCCTACAGCTTTGTCCTAGAGACTGTTAGCGAGTTCTTCCTGTCCTTCTTCCCTCCATATGAAGGACAGTTTTCCACTTCAGTAATTACTTTTGTGACTCATTTCTGGATTCTTGTCCTTGCCACATTCACATTAAGCTTAACATTCAACCCCAAATCTTTTACTCTTCAAGGTTTAGCACTCCCAGAATATTTGTGAGGAGCTGAACAGAATGTGAGTGCCTGCTTCTGCTCTCTCCAGTGGGTGCCCTGAGAAGAGGCCCTTGCTGCAGAAATACTGTTACCATTTGCTTTCTGATCCCAAGGAGGAGACTCCCAGATGTGCTTACGGCAGGATATAGATGTTGGATTGGTAATCATCGCTGTCCGCCCAGAAAATCATACACACCTCCCAACACACACATCCACAATCTGATTATGGCATCTAACTTTTAAAAAAGCAGATATGAGACCTAGATAGTACTACTGTTTTGGCACTACCTCCAGCTGGGCCTTAGGCATCAGATATGAAATCACAATCCCTGAGTTCACAGCCTACCTCTGCCACACTCCCTAGCTGAGCCTCAGTTTCCCACATCTAGAATGGGGAGGGTGTTGAGGCAAGTGGTAAGCAAGTGGTGGCAAGTGGTAAGCCAGACTGTGTACAGATGGCACCAGCCCTGTGCCTGGTCCTCATTATTGCTCAGTAGTTGGGCTGTGATAACCCAGATGTGGAAAATGTCATTTTCCAACATGATGATTAACACGTTTTGCACATCGTCTGTGGTTCAACAACAGACTGTGCTCTATTTTCTTTAGTTAAAAATGCTGCCAGTGTTTTGTTTTCATTTCCTATTTACCAATAAAACTTCAATGACTTTGCTTACTTCTCCTTTGGAGAGGGAACATAGAAATGAGCAAAAACATGGGCTCCATTTCCGATGGAGCACTCTGAGAATATTTCACAGGCCAACAGTCCCTGTGTGCCAATGGAGGCCATTGTGTGGGTTGTGAGGAATGTTTTGTTTGTTTTGGCTTTGGTCGTACATTTAAACTCTCAGTCCTCAATCCCGCACCCCATTTCTTCATCCTGTGTGCTGTGGGGTCTGCTCTCCAGCAGGAGTCTGTGAGAGCATATTGTTACTCAGTCCACAGGTAAGGGGGCTGAGGAGGGGCATGTAGAACTGCAGAACAGAACAGGGGAGAGGGATTGAGAGGGAGTGGGAGGGAGAGAGCTTCAGAGAATCGAAGAATTAAAACCAATAAGACTTACTCTGTGCCAGGGGCTATGCCAAGTCCTTTTCATGAACTTTCTTTTTCCCAGCAGTCATGTTTTAATAGCTCCCTTTACATATGGGAAAACTGGTACTTAGAATGTTTAAGTAGTTTTCTCAAAGTCATCCAGCTGGTGAGAGGTAAGCTGGACCTGGGCCTCTCTCACACAGGGTGTTGCTTCTTAGAGGAAGCGGAGCTCAGTTGGAGACACCTGCAATTCTGCTGCTGCACCTGGATCTTGTAGAACTGCACCAGGAAATAAATGCGCGAGGGGTGGAGTTCCCCTTGGCTTTACTCACAGCTCAGGGGTGGGACAAGCAACTGGCAGGCTCTTGCATTGAAAGTGAGTATGAAGAGAGTGCTCTCTTCACTTTACATTGGCTCTTTAAAAATCCTTGGTGGGGCTGGGGTCATAGCTCAGTGGTAGAGCGCTTACCTCCCAGGTGTGAGTCACTGGGTTCAATTCTCAGCACCGCATATAAATAAGTAAATAAAATAAAGCTCCATCAACAACTAAAACTTTTTAAAAAAAAAAAAAAAACAAACCTTGGTGGCCAAGTTTGAGCTTAGCATTGGTGCTGTGGAGAGAGCAGCCTAAAGTTTAGATTTGAGGGTAGGCTCTGGAAGTAGGAGTGAGGTTCCCATTCTTAGTATGAGGCCCTAAACTCAGGCCAGTTTTTAGTTTCATTATCATGGGTCCAGGGTAGGCTCCTACCAGGCCTGGGAACAAGAAAGGAGAGAATCCTGGATTGTGAAGACTGAGGGTCCCTTTTACTTAGCAATTAGGTGCTTGAATTGCCAGTACAATACAGAACCAGGTTGGAAATACAGTGCTCAATAAACACCAAGATGATGAAGCCATCTTCCTGTCCTGAGGCTTGAGCTTGGGCTTGTTTGCAGAAGGTTCCTCTAGTCCTCATCCTGGGCATACACCCCATGTCTGGCTCTCCAGCCTTATACTCAGGATGGGTTTGAGATGGGTTGATGTTGGTAGAAGCAGAACCTCTGTTCTAAGGAAAAGACTCTAGCTAGAGGCATTCAGAGAGAAGGCAAGGTGCTCTGAGAATCTGCCCCTCTTAGGGACTGGAGTCAGGGCTGATACTTGATAGGGTAAAGCTTGCATTGGCTACACTGTCCCATCCCACCATGCCCTTTGGTTCCATGGAGATTCTGGTAATTGAGCATTTGTTTGATTACTCAGCCAGCATTTGGGGGTTGGCTGAGGTCCAATTTCAAAGCTCTAAATTCCCAGCCCATATGTCAGAGTTAGAAAGGCTGACTCCAAGTGGAGGAGAGAGGGGAGAGTTCCTGCAGGAAAGGCTGAAACCATGCTCCCCAGCCTACTCCTTAGGGTTGGGCTTGTCTGTCTCCCTTATTGGACTGCATCAATACAATGGTTAGGGTTGGTATCAGACCACAAAGAATTATTCCATCTGCTCTGATATCTATGATGTTGCCCCAGAGGGTCTTAGGAGCAGTCAGTATTTCAGCCACTTGAGGGAGGCTTGGAGTCTGTACTCTCCCTTCAGTGCCTAACAGGTGAAGGGAGTGGATTGGGGTGTCCTATTCATTGCATGAGCATCATGAGTTTCCTCTCTGCATCAGGTCATGGCACAGTGGTGGCAGCTTCTGCTAGGATTGTGGACAATCATGCCCACCTGGGCTGGACACATGCTACTCAATGTCTGCATGAATGCCCAACACCACAAGAGAGAGCCTGGCCCAGAAGACGAGCTCTATGTAGAGGTATAAAGTCCAGACTTGGCCCAGGGGTGATAGAAGGCAGATCATGGAAGAAACACAAATGCCAAGACGGTCTCTGGATCCCAACCAATCCAGATCATTTATTTCCTTAGTTTGAAAGTGATCCCAAGTTCCCATTTCTGAGCTGCACTGGCCACTTGGGGAATGGCTCAGATGGTGATCCAAGAGGTCCAGTGTTGGTTCAGCACTGGTCAAAACAAGCCTTCCTACCAACAGGTCCTGGGGAAACATGAATTAATGGTTCCCTCCCCAAACTCTTAAAGCCAATTCACAGGGATGTGGGAGGAGGAGCAGAGCTGGCATTTAGCCTGTGAGTCCCTCTGAATCAATGCAACCTTGATTTTCCGAGATCTCCTCTCTATTTGCTCTTCCCCCAAGACCTCTGCTGCCCTCTCAGAAACTGAAACCCCAGAAGATATATTCCAGAGGACTGTAGCAGCTACTGCAGCAGCCTGGGGCTGGGAGGTCTGTGTGCAGGGGCCTTCTGCCCTATAGGTGAATATTGAAGATTATTAAGGTTCCTCCTCCATGGGGATTGCTGGCCTCAAGCTACCCCAGTTGCTCAGGCTTTCTCCTTAGGTGCATTTTTACTCTCCCACCTTCTGCCCTAGACACGTACCCACCCTGCCTCTCACTCTCTATGCCTGTTATTTCTTCCTCTACTTTCAGTGTATCCCCTGGAAGGACAATGCCTGCTGCACAGCCACCACAAGCTGGGAAGCCCACCTTGAGGTGTCCCCACTCCACAACTTCACCTTGGTTCACTGTGGATTGTTGACCCCAAGCTGTCAGAAACACTTCATCCAGGCCATCTGCTTCTATCAGTGTTCCCCTAACCTGGGTCCCTGGATCCAGCTGGTGAGGAAATAGATGACAAATTCATATGTTACCTTGTTACTAAGAGCTGGAGCTTCCATTCGATAATATGCTGGTATCTCCAGGAGACTGATAGAAGCAGGAAATGTTGTATCCCTGTGAACAAGAGGAGAGCCATAGGCCTCTGTTGGAGAAAGATGTGAAGAGGAAGCTGCCTCTGACCCTGAAGGATGGCATGGGGGAGGCTGGTTAGATAACAGATGGATAGGGACTATCACCAAGGGAGGCTTGGTGAATTAGATGGACCTGAGTTTGAATTCCATCTCCTCTACCTACTAGCTGTACGCCTAGGATAAGGCACTTAGCCTCATTGTTCTCATTTGTAAAAATAATAGTACTCAGAGAGTTTACAAGGGAGGATGTTCAGATGGTATAAGTACCTGGCACAAATACCATTATACTAATAGTCGGCTTCAAATTGCTGCTATTCATGTTCCTGTCTCTCACTATGCCTGCACCCAGGTGGGGCCTAGTGGGCAGGGAGAACGCATCGTGGGGGTGCCGCTGTGCTGGGAAGACTGTGAGGAGTGGTGGGCAGACTGCCGCACTTCTTATACCTGCAAATCCAACTGGTACAGCAGCTGGCACTGGAGTCAGGGTGAGTGGCACTGACGGGGCCCCATAGGAAGGCAGACCCATTGGGGGTTCTCCAACCTGGATGCAGATGAAAACCTCCCCGTGTCTCCCCCACCCCAGGGTAAATGATGGGGACATGGGGAAGCAGTGGGAAGTAAGCTGTTTACCTCGACCCACCACAGGAAAGAACCGCTGCCCTGCAGGGGACATCTGTCACCCTTTCCCCCATTACTTCCCCACCCCAACTGACCTGTGTGAGAAGATTTGGAGCAACTCCTTCAAGGCAAGTCCTGAGCACAGGAACAGTGGGAGATGTCTCCAGAAGTGGTTTGAGCCTGCTCAGGGCAACCCCAACGTGGCTGTGACCCGCCTCTTGGCTAACACTGCCCCAACCCGGGAGCTTGCCTATGTCCCCATTCCCTTCTCTCTATTCCTGCTCTTCCTTTCCTGAGGACCCTTCCTTCCCCCACCCACATACATGCCTTGCTCCCACTGGCAGTGACCAGGCCAAGGCCATCTCCTTCCTCAGGCCATTCACTAAAAGGAGCAGAAGTGGCAGCAGCTGGTGTCTGAGCCCTGCACACTGGGTCCCAGGCACTCTACACTGCTCTGCTGGCCTGGGAAACAGCTGGGGTGGGAACTGTTAAGGTGACCCATCCCCTCCTGCCCATAAGAATAAGTGCTATGATGGGACCCTATGCCCTTCTGGTCCTGCCCATGTCCACCCTTTCCATGGCAGAGCTGATGGTGACAGTCTGGCCTCCCATCCTATCATGGTGCCTCCAATAAAATAGCAACTGACTTCTCCTCTCTGTGTCACTCTGCCAGAGCCCACAGGCATGGACCCACGATGCACAAAGAGCTGGTTTGCCTGTTGCACTGAAGTCTCAACATTAGACTGTTACTTAGCTGGTATCATTCATTTCTTAGTATCTGCTACATATCCTCTCAAGGCCTCTGATGGGAATATTCTCCACACCACCCCCCGTTTTTTAACAAGTGATACACCATACCAAAGACCCAAACCAAGGTGAGGGGTGGGGCTCCCAGACCATCAACTCTACTGTGGACACCAAAACTGAGGCAGTTACCTCAACTGCATTGAGTGTTCCCCCTTCCTTTCAACCCCTTCCTCCCACCATCACAGTACACTAGTCTGGAGTTTGGGAAACTCAAGCTCTAATCTGGCCTTCCCACTCTCAATAAGACTTTTAGCAGCTCTTTTGACCTTCCTTTAAGAAGGTCTTGATTTTTTTTTTTTAATCTGCTGAGAGGAATGAGGTAGTTGGCCCAGATGAATTAATGAAGGAAGGAAGGGTGGGTGAGCCAGTGTCCTTGTTGGGATATGGTTTGTTTCTCAGGCAGTGCCACATCTACAGAATGAGATGGACATCAGCATTGTATTGGAGAAGGGGCACTGACTTCAAGTCCTTCTGTGAATGGATTGGCAGTCAATCCACCCACTAGAAACCTTCTGGAGCCCGAATCCCTGTGCCTTCCAGTGCTATAGGGTGCCTTTCCCATGATCCTTGCTGCAACAGAAGGTTCTAGCATTTGAGTTGGCTGGCTTTTCTTTTCAAGTGCTTGTACTTGTACACTAGTATTCTGCTCATCAAACAAATTTTGCCTTCATTTTTTTTCTGCACCTACCTTGAACTTGCTCATTCACTGAGCAAACCTTGACATAGGTAGGGCATTATAATCACAAAACAAAGTCTGATGCTCAGGGTGTGGAGTAGGAGATAGATGGCAGCAGTGGAGACAAGGCCATTCACATCAAGTCTGTGAGAAAGGAACCAGGACAGAATCCTGATGGCCTCACAGTTGGTGAGGTTTGAGCTCTGTGGAAGAGGGCAGTTCACTAAGAACAGAAAGGAAATTCTGATTCAAACTCTGCTGGCTAATCTTTGTGAACTAAAGTCAGTATAGTATAGTGATTTATGCATACCCATGTTTATAGCACTGCAATTCACAATACCCAAGTTATAGAACCAGCCTAGGTGCCTATTGGCAAACGAACAGAGAGAGGGAGGAGGGAAGAAAATGGGGAAGTACCTGGGACTGAAAGGAGTAAACTTTGACCAGGCGCAATGGTGCACACCTGTAATGCAAGCGGCTCAGGAAGCTGAGGTAGGAGGGTCACAAGTTCAAAGCCAGTCTCAGCAAAAGTGAAGTGCTAAGCAACTCAGTCAGACCCTGTTTCTAAATAAAAGTACAAAATAGGGCTGGGGATGTGGCTCAGTGGTAGAGTGACCCTGAATTCAATCCCTAATACCCACCCACCAGCAAACAAGGAGCAAACTTTGTTACATGCACTTATGAATATGTAAAAATGAATCCCACTATTATGTGTAGCTCTATTGTACTAATACAAACATTTTTAAAAACACAGCTAAGACCCCAAGTTACTTCAATAAATTGTGGCTTCAAAAATACATATAGGCAACATCATTTCAAAATTGAGAACTGGAAGAACTATGAGGTGGTAATAGAGCTTAGAGTTTATTGACTTTCAAAAGTGTTTTAGGCATTAAAAAATAGCAAAAGTAGAATTAAAGCTGGGTTGAACACAAGGCTAGTTCTGAGAACCCTAATAACTGTTAGTATTTACTGATCATTTACTGTGTGCCCAGGGGCCCTGCTAAGTGTGTGGCATGTACTAGGTAGTTCATTTGATCCCCATTAAAGCCTTGACAAATATTCTTATCCCCATTTTTGCAATTAGAACATAACTAAGTTTTAAACCAGCTAAGTCTGACCCCCCCACACAGCTCCAGCTCCTAGGCTTATATTGAATAGCCTGGTAGGTAGTTAAGTGGAACTGAAGCAGATGTGAGGAGGGAGGGAGGGCTGGGTCCCCCTTGAAGAGGTCATGGTTAAGAGAGTCTGTGCTCTACCCCTTAATGTGATTGGGAGGAGACATAGGAAGATATTACATCCATAAAACCAGGAACAGCCGAGTAAACTGTCAGATTTTCAGTTAGATTATCTATTGCCACCGGAGTGATCCGTATACAATGGTCCTTTGACACACAGGTCAAGGACTTCTAACACCCACGCCTCACTCAGGGCCCCAACACAGAGGTACTCACTTCTAACCATTTCTGAATTCAGCTACAAAGAAGTTACAAAAAGAGGCTTATCTTTTCTGCCACACATTCAGACCATCTTTTGGCTTTCTATTCTGTTAATCTTGCAATCTTTTTAATTTTAGTAATCCACTTTTAATTCCCAGGAGGATTTTTTTTATTTCCCTTGTTTTCACAGCCTGCTGTTTTTCAGTTTTGTGGATGCAATGTCTTCTCAAGTTTCACCGAAGATATAATTAAAAAATTTTTTCAAAAGCTTGTTTCTAGTCTCTGAAAGATGTGTTTTCTCCAAGGTCACCCTGCTCTAGTCTTTGATCTTCTGCCATGGCTGCTGGGTTTCTCAAGTCTGGTGACTTTGGCTGTCTGTCCATATTCAAGAACAAGGGGCTCAGTTGACTCTCGTAGCTCACTTTGGTTTGTTCCATGGTTGAATATATGGGTTTCCTTTCCCCTCCATTGCACAGCTGCTGGGGGTCCTGGATACGTGGGGGGGGTTTGGTGACTAGAAGACATTACTTCAAAGGGTGGAATAAATGAAGACTACTCCAACGGGAACAAGCAGAAGCTATTTATTCAGAGCATGCTTTATGTGTATAAGGGAGTCAGCCACCCTCACATGCATCCTGGCAAATCACAAGCAGTTAGAGAAGTGGGCAAACTTCAGAGTGGGAAAGAAGGAAGGCTTCAAGTTTTCCCTGAATGGGGACTGTTGTCAACAATGCTAGATATGGGCTGAAGCAGGCTATCCCAGGTGATCAGGCTGGCTTTCTCCTGTTGGTCCTAAGCTGGAAGTGTAAATAACTACCAGGGAAGATGGAAGTTATTAATCAAATCCTTGCTGTTCAGGGCTGATAATCACAGGGGTTATTGTATAGGTCCCTGAGCTACTTGCTAGAGATAGTGATCTGACTTTCTACAAGTCTACTTACAGATAGTGTAATTTTGTGTGGGCTGATTTCTGGGCTTGTTACTATAGATAATGGGCTAGAGATCTGTTTTTATAATTATTCTGGCCATCATCTTTTATACTCAGTCTCTCCAAACTGAGTTGGTAGGATCTATATTGCCAGAATGAGGATGGTTCTCTCTAGAATGCTAAAACCCACAATGGGAACTTAGCACTATCCAGAATTTCATTTAATTTTTTTTAGAGAAGAGCTCCTCCATATATGTTCCCCTATCCATATGCTAATATTGGGCTACCTGGCCTCTCATTTGACCAGAGGAATGGAGGTGAGTCTAAGTGCAGACTTTCCCTCTCTGCTCCTCAAGCCTGCCAGCAATAAGCCCAGATCCTCCAAGGTTCTACTGCAAGATCATTTTCTTCCACTATAGCTGCCCCCCCCCACGTTCTCTGGTCTCCCCTATTCCCTTTGATGTGTTTTCTCATGCTTTTCATCTTTTAAATATTTGTTTAAATCTCTCTGCTCAGGTGGTTTTCTTCACACACTCTTGGTAAAGGAATACTTGAAAATAAACAACCATTTTCGTGGGATCCCAGGTATCGGTTCCACCCTCTGTGTCCTGCAACTGCAGATTTTCTAAAAAGATCCAAGTGTTGTGTAAAAGAAAAAAATAAAAGAGAGTGAAATGGAAGACAAGGGGAATGAGGGCATTATGGAGGATGGACTTTCAGGAGAGAGATCAGAAATGCAGGTTCCGGGCACCCAATTAGAGTGAGTTTCTAGGAGGTAGGAGGCCACGCTATAGTACAGGCAGTAGACCAGAAGGGGCAGATTCAAGAACTATTAGGAAGATGGAACCTATAGAAGTTTAGATCATATTTTTGCATGAAGTGTCACAAAGACAGGTGTAAGATGGAGTGTGGGAAAGAGAACTATCACCAAGGCCAATAGCCTTGGATAACTCAACTCCCAAAGCTTGCAATTGTAGGGGGTTCTTTCCCTACCCTAGACTGCACTGGGTCTTAGGTAGAAGGGGAGATGCTCCTACTGGATGCAACCCAATCACTTTTCCATGATGAGAACACCCAACCCCATTCAAGCCCTTCCTCAGAAAATGCTGGGAAATCCTAGATGGCAGATAAAAAAGCAAAAATAAACAGGAGAGTCTCTTGTGTATGTTATTCTTAAAGATCCCTACCCCTTCCTGAGTGCAGAAGAGGTCTCACCTGGCACACATGCACAGGGATCATGTCCCATACACCTCACTGTCTGAACACCCTTCCTGTGCCTCCTCCACCTCGTCCCTGCTCACTCTTTCCCCCTACAGAAATGACTGCTTTCTGAGGTGCTTCCCAATGGCCCAGTGCTTTTGCTGTTGAAGTACCCAGGTTTAGATACTATTCTGGGATTCCCAGCTGTATCTTTCACATCAGATCGTTTTCCCAGCTCCAGTCCTTGAGATGTCTTGACTGCCCAGCCCCCTCATGTACTCCAAAGGGGCCCTCTTCCTGCTAATACCACCAGTTCCACATTTTTTCATTTTCCCTCCTTCCCTGTGTTCTACTCACATTTATCCTGTTTTACTTTCCCATATAACCAAAAACCACTTTAGGAGTGTTTTGCCATAAGTGAAACAAATAGAAAGAAAGAAAAGAGGGAAGGCTTCCCAGGGAGGAGGGGCTGATGATGGGCCTTGAGAGGCTGCTGGGACATTGTCATTGAGATGTCCATCAGACAGTTGACCTGCAGTGCAGAATAGAGGTCTAAGCTAGAAATAAGAATCCAGAGCTCAATTTCCTTGGGAAGTGCTTTTTGGCACTGTGGAACTTAGTAGTTCTCTGTGAAATGCATGAAAAGAAAAATGAGAAGCTTGTGGAGAGTCTGTCCAACTTACCCAAGGTTAGGAAGTGACAGGGAGATGGGGCTAGTAAAGAAGGAAATGGGGTTAGTAAAGAGGGAGCTATATCTCAGGGGCACAATGTCAAATTCTGAGTTGCCATCTGCCTATCAATTAATTTATAAATACTTACTGTGTTCTGACTCTATGCTGGACACTGTGCTGGTCCTGGGGATTGAAAGACTGAATATATAAACAAATATGCATAAAACAGGACTCTAACTCATAGCTAACCTACTGTCTATAGCAATCTGTCCCAGAAGCCAAAGAAT